AATGCTCCAAACTATTGTTAAAAAGAAAAGAATTAAATGGAAGAAATTAAGCGAAAAACGTAACCAAATGTGCAAAATATTATCAATCTCTCTCTTTAAAGAAGTAGATTTCACTCAGACCGAAACTAGTTCCTTCAAAACTTGAATTCGAGGTATTGACGCCAAAATCACCAAACGGCATCGGTTTGGCACAAAACTTGGCACACACGACCGCCTAGGCACCGAGAAACTTATGGAGAAGATGAGACTCCAATCGGGTTCCGGATTGAGAGTTAGAGTCGGATTTCACTCTAGGCAAACTAGTTTCTTAAGAAAACTTGAATCCGAGGTGTTGACTTGCAAAATCACAAACGCGCGTCGGTTTTGCACGAAACTTAGGCACACACGACCGCCTAAACACAAGAGACTTGTGGAGAAGACGAGACTCAATGGGTTCCCGATTTGGGAGTTAGAGCGGATTCACTCTAGGCAAACTAGTTCCTTAAGAAACTTGAATATCGAGGTGTTGGCGCCCCAAAATCATCAAAACGGGTCGGTATTAGCAACAATGAAACTTGGCACACACGACTGCCTAGGCACGAGAGACTTGTGGGAGAAGACGGGGCTCGAATCGGGTTCCCGGTTTGGGAGTTAAAGCCGGATTTCTGTCTAGCCAAAATTATTTACTTAATTATCTTTGTAATTATATAATAGTTAATTTTTTTACGTTTTTTTGTAATTAAAATATTAACACATAATTATATTGTCATTAATTTTTTTATTTTTTGTTTTCAGATATTTCCCCAGTAGCAGTTTGCTTCTTGTGGAATGCATGCGTGTGAAGATTGCGATTAACTTTTGTTTTTGTTACCCACGGAAGAATCATGACGAAAACTTTTGTTTTTGATTTACGTTATTTTGAATTGTGAACAACATTATGTATTTAAACATTGTATATGTATTTTGCAACATTATGTAGTGGGTTAATTTTGCTGATGTAATGTTATGAATGGAAGAATATTTTTATTATGGATGGATTGTTATTTTTATACTGGAATTTTTATATTATTATGTAATTAGCGGTTCATTTTTCAATTATTTTTCATTTAATATATGTAATTTTCGTATTTTTCATCATTTTATTGTAGGTTTTTTTTTTTTTGAGATGGCACTACACTATCTCAAAAAACATTATAACCAGATTGTTTTTGCGACATAAGCAATGCCGTCGCAAAAGATATTTGCAAAAGTTGAAAAAAAACCTTTTGCGATGGTATTATTTGCCGTCGCAAATAACTTTTAGAGACGGCGTCGTTGTGCTGTCTCAAATAAACTTTTAGCGACGGTAGGTTACCCGTCGCAATAAAACACTCTTGTGACGGTATTTTTGTCATCGCAAATAACACTTTTAGCGATGGCAACACAGTGCCGTTTCAAAAAATCTCAGATTTTTACATATTAATGGCCACGGTAGAATTCCATCGCAAAAAGACAACTTTGCTGTCGCAAAAAAAAGATGACGGTATTGTGTCATCGCTAAAACCTTTTAGCACGCCTTTTGTTGTGACACCTCACTTGCTGTCGTTAAAAGTCATTTGCCATCGCAAAAAAACTTTTGAGACGATATTTTGAGTATTTGCGACGGCATTTTGCCGTCGCAAAAAGTTAAATTTTTGTAGTGTTTTTAATCTATACACAACTAAAGAATTACTAATAAAAATAAGACAAAATATTATGTGAATTAAAAATCTCTTAAATTTAATTATATAAACTTTGTGAGGTCAATATTTTTTTTTTTTTTTTGAAGAAAGTGATTTAGGGTTTGATTGAGAATAAAGAAAAATAATAAAAATATCACTAAAAATCAACTTATTCTCTTTATTATTTTTATTGGTCTTTTTTATAAAAATTCAAAAAATAACTTTAAAAAAACTAATTACCAAACCAACTTATTGTGATTTATCCATTTTAATACTATGGGTTTGAGAATAATTTTTTTAGCGTAATTTTTTAATTTTTTAGCTAATTGTTTGGCTAAATTAATTCTGTTTAGAAATAATTTTTTGACATAATTTAAATGTGACATTTTATAATTTATTTTTATCTTTTTATACTGTACTACTCTTTTTTTTCTTCTTTTTTTTTTCAAATCCCAATCTAAATCTTGGAGAAAGAGTTTAGAAATTTTTTTGGTTTGTTTGATTGTATTTTTTGAAAATAATTTTGGATTATGAGAGTTTGAGATGATTTGATATATTGTTATAATTGAGTAGAAGTGTGCAAGAAAAAAAGGGATCGATTAATGTGTAAAAAAAAAAAAATGATTTAGATTTTTTTTTTTAAATCACTAAGTCAAACAAAATTTTAAAAAAATTTCTCCAAAATTCCTCTCTCAGAACAAACCAATCAATGCCGTAAAATTTCAAGTCTATAAAATTTAAAATAAAAAAAGTGGGAGCCTTCCCTTGTTTCCTCTTCCCAGTCGGTGGCTGAGACTCTGAACCCAAAGCTAACGCCTACTCATCACATCATGCTCATGGAAGATGCCGAGGTAACCAAATAACCGCCCAATCCTACTTCTTCCTCCACCACCGTCACGCCGCCTACAACTCATTTACATACATACATGTATATATATATATATATATATTTATTGTACCATTTTTAATTTTATTTTTTTGAAATTGATCAATTGCGTTGTATTTAGTGAATCAGAGTATTTTGTATCTTGGAACATTGCCTGTTGATTTTGAATTTTGATGAGTTGTTTTGGGTTTATATAGAAAATGGTGGCGTTGAAGAAGGCTTACGCGGATATAATACTGAACACGGCGAAGGAGGCAGCTGCTCGCGTAATGGTGTCGGAGCGTAAGGCTCTTCGCTTTCATCACGATCTGTGTGCCGCAAAAGACGAGGCTCTTCGAATGCTCCTTCGCTTCAAACAGACGTTCGATTCTAAGGTAATTTTGAAATGGTCAAAATGTGTGTGTAGTTTAGTTGCTCTTTATCTTGATTTTGATTGGGCACAGTTTTTCAATTTCTTTTCGGCTTGAATTTGTGTGATTTTATGATGTAGGCTTGGTAAGGATTGATTTTGTTGATGAATGTTTTGTTTTCTAAAATTAAATCATATTTGTGTGGAATTCATATACACTTATACAGTTATGTGTGTGTTAGTTGCTTTTATCTTGATTTGATTGGGCATTTTGTAGTTTTGTGACGGTTTTTCGATTTCTGTGTGTACATATGTGTGCCTTTTATTCGGCTCGAATTTTTGTGATTTTATGGTATAGGCTTGGTGCGGAATGATTTTCGCTGATGGATGTTTTGATTTCCAAAATTAAATTGAATTGGGATTGTAGTTGCTACTTATGATGAGCAATTCAGGGTCGAAATTAGGCAGGACAGTCATTTTTTCAAGAGGTTCCGCTTCTACCACTCTTGTTCTGTAATCCTCGTTTTCACTAACCACTGTATCAAAAATGGTTATATTCCTTGAACTAAATCTGATTGAGTTGAGTTATTCCTCCAATTTATGAAAATGGCATCTCGAATAGAGGCAATTGGAGGAAAATGAATTCATGTAACCATCTCCACCTTATCAAGACTATGTCCTGTTGAGTTAGAGTAGAATTTATAAAGGACCTACACAATGTCACCTAAAATGCATGTAATATGTGCTTCCAGACATAATCACTTCATAACCCAAGAACAATTAATGTCTGTATAGGCCTCCTCAAAGATGTTAAGTTTCATTAGCTAGATCATCCCTGCTTGGTCTTCCTGTACTTGCAACAAAAATCAGTTGTTTTTCCTAAGTCATTGATACCCAATTTGAAGAAAGGTCAGCTATAATAGAAAAATAAAAGGGCATTTTTTCAGTTATTCTTGAATTTGGAGGCTTGCCATTGAAGAAAACTGCTTGAGACCTGATTTAGCATCTTTGTCTAAATTTAGTGAAGACTAAAAAATGAGAATCTCTCCTCAGCTGAGCTAAAAAGTTAGGTTTCAAATTTGTAGAACTGTATTGTGGAACTTTGAATTATTGTACATTTTTTGTCACTAGCAATTACAGTTATGCATACACCTTAGTAGGTCTGAAGCTATATCTTATTCTTTTAGGTAGTGGATTCTGGTATGGGTATCAAATGTTAGATTTGATAACTTCTTAGGAGTTGAAAGGATGTAGCAATATAATAAGAGTATATTGTTAAATAGTCTAGTTCACAGATTATTTCACTTTGCCACTCACTTCTTTTGAGTTTATGTATGAGCAAATTTGTAATAAAATGTAATTATGCAATTCAAGAAGCATTTTGTATGGATGCACATCTTATGAATGCTACGCATAAAAAGACACATGACTTGTATTAGTGTTCTAAAATCATTTTAAAAACCAAAATCTCACATGTGGCGATAATGTTACATTTCTTCGATTTTTGCAGACCATTGAAGCAGAAATTAACTCCGTGAGTCAGCAAAAAAGGATTGAAGAGCTCAAAGCACAGCTTGATGAAGCAGAAGAGACAATATTAGACCTTAGAGCAGAGTTGAAAAAGGCCCAAAATCACTTGGATAAGGTGAAGAACAACCATATGCAGCCTCTGAACAAATCAACTGAAAAACAAGATGGGCCTTGTCATGAAGGTACACCTTTCAATCACAGAAATATGGATTGCAAATGCTGTAATTCAGCAAAACTAAGTGAATCATTGAAGTCAGATTTGGAGAACTCATGTGTTGATAACCCTAATTTTCCTTCCATAATTGTGAAAAGCAAAGAACCCGAGTTGTACAAAAATGGATGCACTCAGAGGGTTCGTGCATTTGAAAGGAACTTGCTGGATGGAAACTTGCCTTCGTCTGGAAATGGCAATGATCAACACTTTATCAAAAAGGGTGAGTCAATCACCAAGGTGAATGAACAAAATACAGAGATATGTACTGTACCACCTCCCAAGATTGAAAATATAGATGGAATGAAAAACCCAACTCGTGTGGAAGACAAGTTGTGCATTAAGAGTTGCACTTACAGGGATCAACCTTTCAAGGTTCGCAACATACGGAGGAGGAAAACTCGATATGGGAGAGCTAAAGCTACTTCATGCAGGTTAAATCCTAATCTTGTAAAACCTCATAGACCATCCTCGGTTCTTTCTCATTGCAAAACATCTTCCTGTTCAAACAATGATAATGTTAAATCTGGTGAGGGAGCTTGTACTTTGCCTTATAGTGAGGCCGAAAACAAGACTTCAATGGAAAATTCTTCCAGATTGGAAGAAAAAGTGCAACAAAACAAAGATCAGGCTCTTAGCGTTGTTCGCAGAAGCGTTAGGAAAAGAAAAGTCAAATGTAGGGCTGCTATTGCTACCTATTGTAGGTCTCTTCCTGACCAGCTGGCAAATTTGGAAAGTGAGACTAAAATTAAAACTGATGTTTCTATGTCAGGATCTACTGATGTAACTCCTCATATCAACACAGTTATAGCATCTGGATTTACTGGGAATACCACATTCAAGGACACAGGGCCAGTAGATGAGGCTGTGTTGGTAAAACAGGGGGTTGATGCTGCAGAGAGTCCCAGGGCTCCAAGTTATAAATCTAACCAGACGGACAATAAACTACTGCAGGATTCTAATTCAAAAGATGCAAAAACATCTGAAGCAATGATTGAAACTTCCAGTGAAGCTGACAACAACAGGATTGTTCAAGTAACACATTCAGCAGGAAGCGCAAGAAAGAATTATCGACCAAGCCTAATGAAAACACTTCTGTTGGAAAGAGCAATGCAAAGAAGAGGGCAGTCGTAGAGAAACAAAATGGTGCTCCAGAACCCCAGAAGGCTAGCTTGATAGATGAATCATCTAGGGACAGCCGACGGATGGTGCAGGTGGCTCGTCAGGTTGGTGATTTTCCTTTCTCAGGACTCTCACTGAAATTCTATTTTTTTAATGTTCAGTGATTTTTAGGCACTGCAAAGTAAAGTTTTTACTCTGCAGGTGGTTTATACATTTATTCGAGGAGCTGAGGCCTTTGTTTATATATTTTGACTTGACCATTTAAATTTATGATGTTAACTTGGCTCAATTGGTTGATCTTGAAAATTTGACATATTAGCTACATTGAGCCACTAGAAAGGAAATGTAAGAATAAATAAAAACTTGTATATGAAGCCTTAGCAAATTATCATTCAGAGCCTCGAATTAGCGTCCTTGATTCACTGCATCATTTTCATCTTAGTCAGTTGAATATATGAAGTACTAAAAGACTTCATAGTTTGTTGTCTAAGCACACGGGTGCTTTGATTTTCTTTGTTAAGTGCTCACGAGATCTAGACAGAAACGACTGTTAGTTTGGTGCCCTTAAAATCTCTAGATGCTGTTGCTAGTACTCCTTTTTTTCTGATCTCGTCTTTCTCATTTGTGCAGCTTATTTCTTTGTCTGGTAAAAGGTGGTGATAGTTGATTTGCTTATTGCGTTGGCTATTCTTAAATTCCATGCAGCAGAAAGTTGTCCTTGATAAGAAACTTGACAACATTGGTGAAGAGGTCATCAAGACGATGCATTTCCAGAATGGATTGTGTGTGAAATTCATAATTTTAACTGAGAGCATTTGTTACCTACCAAACAAAGGAGAGAGAGAGAGAGAGAGAGAGCATTGTTGTAATCTTCTGTTTTTGTCCCTTTTACGTTTGGCTATTTTGAATTTAGCTACGGTTACTGTGATTGATTTCTCATACTTGATGGAGATCATTGGAGTTAATTTAGATTGGCATTCATGAGATGAAAAGCTAAATAGTTATTAGTTTCTTTTGTAACTGTGATAGCCTGATAGGTGGTTTCGAATTTGCTGAATTATACTACACAATGCAGTGCATCTCAAGATGAGGTACTTTTGAAAATTCAGTATTTTTATACTCTTATTATTGTTCCCAAACATATGTTGAATATTTAAGGTTTCATATGAGTTTGCTTGCATTTCAGATAAGTAGAGCTGATGAATGTGGAAACCAAAGGGACGTTATGAAGAGTAATGGACATAGGAGGTACGGCTTCAGGTACCAACAGAATTTAGATCTGCTACTAACAAAGTACAGAAACTCTAGCGTGCGTATATGTGATGGTCCTGTTTCAATTCAATAATGCTATATTTATTATCTTTTTATATTACGTTTAGTTTATCATTTCAAATGGCACGTTCATAATCATTGGTATATGATTTCTCCTAATATCCGATGGTTAGAAAAATGTGCCATATGAGATAGTAATTTATCTATACTATATATTAACTAAAAAGGGATTTTTAACCCCCAAACCTGTGAAAGTTCCAATATGTCAATCTTAATTTTTTAATTTTTTAATTTTTTTAAAAAAAAAAATTAACCTCAGCATTTATTAACTTCTCTTAACCCATAAGACTTTTTGACTTCTCTCATAATTACTGCAGTACTTTTTCCAAAACAAATAATTTATATATTAAAAAAAATTTAAAACAAATATAAATATCTATATCTATATCTATCTATTCATTTATATCTATCTCTAACCTACAAATTTTGTGAGAATTCCAATATCTGAACCTTAATTTCTTAATTTTTTTGATTTTTTTTGGAAAAAAAAACTTAGCACTGATTAAATTCTTTCAAGTCTTTTTAACTTCTCCAATTTACATACTCTTTTTAACTTTTCACATACGTATTGCAAACAGTAAGTCTTATTTTTGTTTTTTCCTGTTTAACTTCTCACTTCTACACTTTCAACTTCAGTGACCACGTATGCAAACAGTAAGTCTTCTTTTTGTTTTTTCCTTCTTGACTTTTCCTTTTGTTTACCGTTTTAATATTGTAGTTAGATAGCGCATAAAAATATTTGTGATTTGTCTAGAGAATAAAAAATTATAATTTGATTTTTTAATATGATTGAAATTAGATAAATATAAACCTTCACAAAGAGAAAAATATGATTATAATTAGTTAAATGATTCTTTTTTTTAATGTGATTGTAATTAGTTTAATAGTTCTTTTTTTTCATTTATTTATTTTATTATAGGAAAAATGTGATGTGATTGTAGTTTGTTCAATGGCTCTTTTTTTTTTTTAATATGATTATTGTAGTTAGTTCAATGTTTTTTTTTATAAAAATGTTATTTAATCTTTTTATTTACTATTTTAATTTTATTTTTAATATGATTGAAATTAAATAAACATAAACACTCACAAAGAAAAAAATGTGATTGTAATGTGATGTGATTGTAGTTTGTTCAATGACTTTTTTTTTAATATGATTGTTGTAGTTAGTTCAATGGTTTTTCTTTTTAATGTTATTTAATTTTTTATTTACTATTTTAATTTTATTTTTAATATGATTGAAGTTAGATAAACATAACACTCACAAAGAAAAAATGTGATTGTAGTTAGTTCAATGGTTTTTTTTTTTAATGTGATTGTAGTTAGTCAATGGTTCTTTTTTTCATTTATTTATTTTTTTTATTATGGAAAAAATGTGATGTGATTGTAGTTTGTTCAATGGTTTTTTTTTTAATGTGATTTAATTCTTTTATTACTGTTTAAATAGTTTTTCTTTACAATTATTTATGAAAAAAAATATGATTGTAGTTAGATAGCATAAAAATAATTTGTGATTTGATTTGATTTGATTTTTTTTCTGATTTGATTTTTAAAGTATCAATTATTGATAATGATTAGATTGTATTTTGAAAAAAAAAACTATAATTGATTTTTTAACTCACTGTGTTTTTTGAAAAAAAATTATTGTGTTTTTTTAACTATCAATTCACTTAATTTGTGATTTGATTTTTAACTCACTGTGTTTTTCGAAAAACAAAATGGATTGTATTTATTAGGGTCACATAATATACCAATTATTGATGATAATTAGATTGTATTTTGACCCCAAAAAAATTGTAATTGATCTTTTTAACTCACTATATTTTTTGAAAAATAAATTATTGTGTTTTTTTAATTATTGATGATGATTAGATAGCATTAAAAAAATTGTGATTTGTATGATTGAAATTATCTCTTTTTGTTTATAATTTTATTTTTTAATATGATTGAAGTTAGATAAACATAAACACTCACAAAAAGAAAAATGTGTTTGTAGTTTGTTCAATGGTTCTAAATAATCTTTTTTATTTACTATTTAAATGGTTATTTTTTTAAATTATTATTTTTTATTATGAGAAAAATGTCATTGTAGTTAGATAGCATTAAAAAAATTGTGATTTGTATGATTGAAATTATCTCATTTTGTTTATAATTTGATTTTTTTAATATGATTGAAATTAACTCACAAAAAGAAAAATGTGATTGTAATTTGTTCAATGGCTCTAAATAATCTCAATCTGAATTTTCTAATTTTTTTTAATTAAAAAATATAACATTTATTGATTTGGTCAAAATCCCCTGATCAGCATTTATTAACTTTTTATCAATTCACATGTCTTTCCACATGCTTGCATTTATTGATGTGGTCAAAACCTCTTGATCAGCATTTAAAATCCTCTCATACAAATAATTATAGATGCAATCTGTGTATAGTTACTGCAGTACCTTTTTCAATTTCTCTCATACACTATAATTAGTGATAAGATTGTTAAATTATTTTTATAAAAAATCTTAAAAAAACATAATTTATATATTAAAAAAAATCTAAAACAAATATAAATATCTATGATTATCTCGTGTATAACACGGGTGATGGGCTAGTTTAAATGTAATACAAAAGGATTATAAAAATAATCTTATTAATATCAATTTAATGTAGGAGGATTTGGTCAAAACTTCCTCATAATAAAACTTTAATTAAGGACAAATACAAAAAAAAAAAATCTTGAAAAATTCAACACATATCACTGTTACCAAAATATTAAACTTTAAAATAATATAACTTTTGATGTAGATATCGATTTTTAATAAATTTTGTACTTTTAGAATTCTTTTATCAAGACCTATCAAATAAGATTTATGTTGACTATGAAATTTAAAATATATATATATATTATTATCGAAATTAATGTGAAAAGTAACACGTCACTCTGTTTGACAGTAACATGTTACTTTGGTTCATGGTAAAATGTTATTCTGATTTATAGTAAAATTTTAATTTATTTCACAGTAACATTTTACTCTGATTCACAATGAAGTTTGTATAAAAGAAGAAATAACTCAAAAGCACATTACCAGATTAAAACTTTATTGTCATTGTTGAACAGAAAATCAGCACCAAAAAAAAAAAAACAGTGTACATATTTTTTTTGAGAACAATAAAGTACATATTAAAGAGTAACCACAACAAGTAGAGATGAAATTTTACTTTCATATTTACAAACTAATAAACAAACAACAATATATACACACACATAAAACCTTCCACGTATCCACATAAGAGCTCAAACTCATCTTCTAACTTTTCATTGATTAGATTTTAGAAAGAAAATATGGAGTTTTTCATTGATTTTAGTCTTGCATGGTTTTATTTTTTGTTCCATTGCAATTTAGTTCATGGCACATACACACATATATACAGTTAAACTCACATATACAAATATATATATATATATATATATATATGTATAATTGGTAGACAGTTAAACTCACATATACAAATATATATATATATATATATATAATTGGTAGATTGCAAAGCAAATTTGAGCCAAATGCCATGTTTGCGAGCTTCAATATACATAATCTATCTCTAATTAGGTCTCTTATATAAACAAAGGTAAAAAATGCCCATAAAAATCAATGCCTTCATGCCCCGGTCAAATAAAACTAAGGAACTTTATGGATAAAGAAAATTTGTGTTGGACTTCAAGCAATACACGCTTTCTACCAGAGGCTTTTAATCAAATTTCCCTTTAATGTGAATCGAAGGATGGAACACGTGCAAGAGTTGTTTTTTCCTCGAGTTATTTATTATTGTTAGATTTCATATATTTTTTCAAAGAGTGGTGCTATTAGCACTCTATTAATTATTTTGGACCCCTCATTTCTTTGGGTCCTTATTTATAAATTTTGAAATCCTCAAAATTTCGTTTCCCCTCCCCCCCAAATAATACCAAAATTATTATTGTGAAAATATTTCATCTATTGAATGCACACCTCCCACACCAAAAAAAAACTCATTTTCCAAAAAACCCTGGCAAAACCCACCAAGAAGAAGAAGAGTTAATGTAATTACTGTCTCTGCTGCCTCATCCACCATTGTCACAGTTGGTATGCTCTCTCTCTCTCTATATATATATACATATACATAATTTCTTAGTTTTCTCGTAATAATTTTTTCTCTTACAGGAAAAAAAATCAAGAGAAAAAATTATAATAATTGGTTTGATTAATTTTGTTGGTAGATAATATAAAATTGTGAGTTTAGCAGAGAACTACACAGTAATATTACCAAAGCTACGCAATGAAGGAATAACCTTTCAACCTGATAATGGATTTGGGTTGTTTCTGATAACTTCTGCAAATGTTAAAATTTTTGACCATTTAATGTGTTAAGAAATTTCCACGTTCGAGCTTGTATTCCCGAACTTGAAAAAAATGAAAACTTCTGCAAGCGTTAACAATTTTAACCGTTTAATGTGGTAAGAAATTTTCATTTTCGGACCTGCATTTCCGGACATTACTTATTTGTTTGGAAATGCCTTCCCGAACAAATAAGTAATATTCAGGCCAGTATTCTCGAACTTGAAAAAATAAAAATTTCTGCAAACGTTAACAATTTTGACCGTTAAACGTGTTAAGAAATTTTCATGTTCGGACTTACATTCCTGAACATTACTTATTTGTTT